TTTTTTTATTGATATTTCAGTTTCACTACTAAATCTCATGTTACGGTCAATCGATTGAGAATTAATCACACTTACTGTCACAAGTCTCTTTATTTTCTATCTTCCTTAGGCCAAACGTTAATAAAAAATAATCAGTCAGCTAAAAATAAAAGCGAAAAAATGAAACGAGTTTTGTCGCACGTTGCTTCGCTGCTTGTGATTGGAAATTCCGTACAAATAGCAAGCGTATAATAGCAAGCGCCGAATACAAATAGCTTCAGGCATATCATTTAAGCAACATCAATTAATGTCACTGTATAATTTGTAATCTTGTTGTCTCTCTCTCTCTCTCTCTCTCTCCAACCAACTGCGTATAATTCGATTATGATATAGCATGCATTTCATCGTATTTATCCTTTTTTTTTTTTTATGTAAACAATGTTTTCTTTTATTTAAAATAATCAAATGCACTTAGTACTTTGTCATGAAATATTACGTTTAAGATATTTTTTTCAATTTTCAAATGTTCTTTCGCATTGAATGAAAAATGCATCATTTATACGACGAATAAACGCTGTGCATAATACTCCTTTTGTTCTCTGTTTCTCTGCAGTGATTGAATTGGCTTGCGGCGAATACGGAGAAGATAAAATAGCGTTGCTAATATCGAGTTCAGGAAACGGTAACAATACACAGTGGTTCGAAAATGCTGACGCACTTATGAATGTAAATGGTTTGAAAAGTACGTGTCCATTTCAAAATAAACCACATTGATACGGTAGCATTATTAATAAAGATTATGTAGAAATTTGAAACGACATATATTTTTGTCCCTTTTGCAGCACTGGATTCGGATAAAAACGCTGTGAATTTAAATAGAGAAAGTGGCCTTCAGGCTACTCCTTTAACACATCAGATCCGAGTTCTAATAAGAAGAGGTTTTATTATGTGTAAACGAGATGTTGTAAGTATCACAGAACCACAGAATTATAATTGTTAATTACATTATGACACGTGTATCTTATTATCATTTGCAATCTATACTCCCTGGTAAGAAAACAAAAAAGCCAAGCGCGACTCAGTAATTAAAACTAATCAAAGTCAATTGATTTTATTTTCTCGCGCATTCCAAACAAACACACAACATTTTATACTTTGAGGATTCCGGAAATATTTGCCAGAATTAATAATAACGATAGACTGATGACATTCTACCGTGTAGTCAGATAATTTCTTTCTACAACAAACAACGAACTGTTTTTTCGTTACAGACGTTAACATATTTACGAATCCTAGTCAATGTAGCTGTCGGCTTGATGCTTAGTCTGGTCTTCGTCGAAGCTGGTATCGACGGTGCCAGAGTATTAGATAATTACAATCTTTTGTTCTCCATTCTCATACATCATTTGATGACCTCGATGATGCTCACCATTGTTACTTGTACGTAAAACATTTTATAATTCAGCTACTCGTTGCTGGAATTCTCGTTAACTCTTTCAGGAATGACATTCAAACGTGTGTTTCTTTATATTTTTTTTTTTTTTTTTCAGTTCCCATGCAAATGAACATCCTGTTGAAGGAACACTTCAACAAATGGTACAGTCTAAAAGCATTTTACACGGCCGTAACAATCGTCGATTTACCGGTTTCGATAACATCCTGTCTGCTTTTCACCCTAATAACGTATTTTGTCACGTCCCAGCCGTTAGAAATGTCACGGTTTCTCATGTTTTTCGCGATTAGCTTGTTGGTGGTTTTGATATCACAGGGGACTGGTCTCATGATTGGAGCAGTATGCAACGTAATTGTGAGTAATCAGACAATGCACATAGTGCTTATAAGAGTATCCGAGATATCGTACAATAGTTTCTACAATATAAGTAATAACAAGCAAAACAATGTTTACACCTAAGTTTCAGTTTTTAAATTATATCCGTATAATATATATGAAACATCTTAAATTCATATAATATAAATTCATATATTACAATCTGTAATTTCATTTCATTATTAGAAAACGTTTAGAGTAACACCTTAAAATTTTAGAACGGAACATTCGTGGGGCCAACGTCGACTGTACCGTTAATGATGTTCTCTGGTTTCGGCCTGACATTACGTGACATGCCAGTTTATCTCAAGTGGGGTACATACGTCAGCTTTTTGCGATATAGTTTGGAAGGGTAATATTTTTTAAATGTTTCACCAACTCTAAGAATGACATAAAAGTCACATAGACATATAAGCATTTTGATTTGAGTTATACTGATTATATACTGATTATATATATATATATATATATATATATATATTTTTTTTTGCATCATGGTACATTTATGTTCTCTTAAAATCTTCTAATAATTAATTAATTGTTTTTTTATAGATCTGAGAGTGGTACTCCAAAAAAAAATTAATATCAGGAGATTTTAAGTTAAGATTAACTATACCATGATGCAAAAATATTATATAACCAGTATATAATCAGTATAACTCAGATCTATGTAACACATAATATGTTCTCTTAAAATCTTCTAATAATTAATTAATTGTTTTTTTATAGATCTGAGAGTGGTACTACAAAAAAAATTAATATCAGGAGATTTTAAGTTAAGATTAACTATACCATGATGCAAAAATATTATATAACCAGTATATAATCAGTATAACTCAGATCTATATAATACATAATCTCTTAAAATCTTCTAATAATTAATTAATTGTTTTTTTATAGATCTGAGAGTGGTACTACAAAAAAATATTAATATCAGGAGATTTTAAGTTAAGATTAATTATACCATGATGCAAAAATATATATATATATATATATATATATATATATATATATATATATATATATATATATATATATATATATATAATCAGTATAACTCAGATCTATATAACACATAATATATACTAGAAATACATACTAAATAAATAAATACCTATAGAAATAAATATCTAATACCTAATACACGTAAAAAGAAAAAATCGTGGAGCAGCAATCAGAAAAATAATAATAAACTTTTCAAATTTACAGATACGTTGGTGCCATTTATGGATTTGATCGACCAGTATTACTTTGCAAGGAGAAGGAAAATTTGTATTGCCATTACCGATATCCGGCAAAATTTCTTTCTGATATCGCCATGGATGGTGATCAATTTTGGAACGACATCGTGGCACTCGTAACGATTCTTTTGTTAACGCGATGCGTCGCGTATATACTTCTCAAATGGAAGATCATATCTTTACGATAAATGGATTTGTTTCAAAGCAAACGTCGAACTTATTGTTTTGATGTTGTTTCTTATCAAAGTGATTAACGATCGCTATTCAACTCTAGGAGAATGTTACGTAAGAAGAAGAAAAAAAAAAAAGAAGTGAAGAAACATATGTACGTATTTATATTTCTCGCAAGGGCATCTTTTATAAAAAGATATGAATACGTAAGATAAGTTTAATTTCGATATGATTTTTGAGAAACAAACACATTTGCATGTTTATTGTAAATTTCCAACAAAATAATTGTAGTTTTAACCAAATCATATCTTTCTGATTAAACCGTATATTTGAACGTGGAAAAGAAGACAGGGAGCATAGAATATTTCATCATGTACATAAATGTTTACGCTATTTCGTCAGATTTACGAAATTAATGATCCAGTGATATTTCCAAGGAACATAATTTTGTTTTCTCTAAATGTGAACAATGAAATTTACTTAACGTCACTTCTCGTAATGATACAATGCAATTTAGAATTATTCTAGAATTAATTTTAGGCCATTCGTTATTTCTATATTTCATAATCGTAAGATATTTCAATACCTTAATTGTGAATTAAGGTCTTTCGTGATTGAAATCTATTATGATAGAGTAATTTTCAATCGAATGAACTTGACAATTCGCGAAAGTTTAACGAAACGAAAAGGAACATGCTATTTTGTAAGTTAAGTGCGTATTTCAGGTGATATTCTTTCCGAAAAAACGATACTTTTCGGAAGTTGAACGTGATATTTTTACGATTGCTCAACGAGTGTCAATTATCAATGCAAGTATGTCTTTTACATTTACAAATTTACGAAAAAAAAAAAAAAAAATGTTAGAAAATTTTCCAATCATACATTACGCGCACATTTCATATATTATAATATGTAATATGCCTTACTTTCCCGTAATTTATAACGTCAGAAATTTTTTACACTTTTTCTACGTGAAATTGTTAACTGCACATGTAAAGTATTTTTATACAACTATTTTGTTAATATATTTATATCTAGTGGGATAAGCAAGAAGCATAAATAATTTTAAAGCAATCCCAGCCCAAGCCTTCTTGTTTCCCTGCCTCGGACATGCGATTTTAGCAATAAAAAAATATTTCTGAAAATGTTTATTAGACGTACGACAACCCTTCGATAATTACGAGTTAAACACGTCTTTTAATACTTGTTAATAATTATATACAGGGTGTTTCGTAACTTGCGGAAGCTGATGAATTGTACGCCTAAAAATAATGAAAAAAAAGTCATATCTGTCTTCGTTTATGAGATATAATGAATTTTATAAACAGAGCAAACTCCAGTACGCTAGTTTTACCAGGAATGGTATATTCAATTTTCACAATAATCGTAATTGGGATGAAGAAAACCCACACGTTATTGTGCATTCAAGACATCAACGCCAGTTTAGTTGAAGCGCATGGGCAGGAATAATTGATAAATTTTTAATTGGACCATTTTCTCTTGATGGGAAACCAATCAACAGGCACAAAGTACGTTGATTTTTTGAGCACACGTTTACACGAAACATTAGAGCAAGTTCCAGTCGATATTAGACTTCGTACGCGGTTTATGCATGACGGAGCTCCGCCGAATTTTAGCCGAGTGGCTAGGCAATTTTTAAATCAACACTTTGCAAATAAATGAATTGATCGTGGAGGTCCTATTGCATGGCCTGCTCGTTCTCCGGATTTGAATCCATTAGATTTTCATTTGCGGGGACATTTAAAATCTATTGTACACGCAACATCGATTGAACATGCTGAAATACTACGAAATAGAATAGAGCAAGGCTTCCGACAAATTCGAGAAACACCAGGAATGATAGAGAGAGTAACCAGATGAATGACAAGACGCGTGCAGGCTTGTTTTCAAATGCAAGGTGGTCATTTCGAGCATGTTTTGTAAAAGTAATTAAAACAGAAAATTCATTATATCTCATAAACGAAGACAGATAGGACATATATTTATATCACTTTTTTTTCATTATTGTTAGGCGTACAATCAGCTCCCGAAGTGGGTCACATAAGTTACGAAACGCCCTGTATAATGCCTCCTTTATTTTGAGAATACATGGTAAAGTAGAGAAACATGGGGCGTGTATCATATAAAAAAGAATAGATGTCTCACTCTTATCTATTTATACATATAAGACAAATGGTATCGCATTGCATATTTATCTTTTTGTAATATTTCTTTTTTTATTGTGTTATGTGAGTTCGACTTTATATAAACATCACAATTGCAGTGTACAAAAATATCTTCGGATAAAAAAAAAATTAATTAATCCGATTATCACATGAAACACCCGTACGACACGTTTCTATAGAAGAAGAATATAAATATAAAAATTTAAATACGTTCATTGTTTAGCTTTTTGTGCTTTCCATTTAAGCACCAAATATGTCGAGAGTTGCAGTAACAGTATCCAAACGCATAAACCTAACACAGTCGTGTAATAAGAAATTGCAGGCATGTCCATCTCTTCTAACACCCTTTTAGGCGAACGTAGATGACAATAAATTTCGTAACACCGCAATCTCTCCCTGTCTCCGTCGTAAAACGCTTGTAAAATGCCTTCAAATGCAAACCTATAAAAAAAAAAAAAAATGTCCTCTCTGCAATTAATTTCATAAGAAACAATGAACTGTTGTCGATTGCAAAAAAAACAATGAATTACCTGAAGAAGCTAATGGAGCAGAATGGTTGAAGGAATAATGGCACCTCGCTGAATTTTAGGAAAAATCCGGCAAACAGTATCATTGGCATGTTGAGCGCAGGAATCAAGAAAGTTCCCAGCTAGAAATATCAATTAATTTCAATTGGCGGCATACTGTTTCACAAAGCCGGATCATATTGAATTTACAATTCGATTCGGTATAAGTTTTTCGAACGACGAAATTACACGAAACCATTTACAATGATACAAATGCGATGGATGGACAAATGTGATGTAACTTTCGCAAAGAGGAAAACTCAGTTTTATATTACATTACCTGTGTATTGAAGGCAGCGCCGATGAGCATTCCTGATGATTGTCCAACGATTGTTGTCAGAACACAAAGCAGCCAAGTGCGTAAAAATCTGTCCCGTTCCATCGGTTGGCCAGTCATGTAGTACATTATTGTAATTAACACCGAAGGCGCAAGAATCTAAAATGACAAATTATTCATTTGCGAATTTCACGTAAATTTGTATTTTTGTAGAATATGAAACGAGAAGTTCGTTCGACCTGAATATCGTAATGAATATATTATAATATATATAATAGTATAATAGAATAATAGAATGAATTATATATGTAATGATTAATATATTATATTATATTCTTTATATTTCTATATATTATATTATTTGTAATGATTAATTAATATATTATATTCATTATTGTATATATAATAATGAATATATTATAATATATATAATAGTATAATAGAATAATAGAAAATTATATATAATAGAATATAATATGATAATATTTTTATTCTTGATACTTTAAATATTCTCGCATATTAGATTCATTCTGAATAACTTTGTGATTCTCAGTTTTCCAAAAGCATATTGTGAATATTCGCAGTTTGATTAACATAGGTATTCTCGTATAACTATAACTATGTTAATTAATATTATTATTATTATTATTATACTCACTTGTAACGGAAGATCTGACAAAACTTTTATAGAAAAATAAGACCTTAAACGATACCAATTGTTCAAGTACTCTCGTAAGAAAACGGCAGCCTCCACAGGAACTGAAATTAAATCGTAAATTTAATCAAAAATTTTGTCGCGATATATATATATATGACTGTGGTGTTTCGATATTAGAAAAAAAAAAAAAAGAAAACGATATTTGTTGATAAAGCAGTATTCACTTACACATCTGTACAGCCGGCATGGCGTTCGCAAAATATAAAAACATCAGGATAAAAAATACGCAAGCTATATTGCTGTGAATCCTATCAGCATTGGCACCGGAATCATAGAACATTATGCCTAGTAAAAAAGCTATTACCACGTGTGCCGTGAGTCTCAACTTCGTCAACATCTACAAAGCAAATGAACAATAATTCACGACAGGATAGAACTTTCTATGGGAAACGAAATTACAACGAATCAACAAGTATCCAATGCAATTACTAACATGGTCCCGTTTGATACAGATGAACGCCCTCAGTAGCAAAATTTTCTGCTCCTGCCAGATAGACGACTTCGAGTTCTTGGTAGTGACGTCTGATCTTGGTGCAGCTGTAACATCTGTTTCTGAAACATTGAGCTACTTGACATTATGCATTTCAACTTCGCTGGATAATTATTTATCAGGTAGTGATTTAATTAATTTAATCGTAATAAAGTCTTAGATGGTAATTGATTTAAATTAGTGAAATAAAGTAGTGATAAATTAATAATTTTAAAATAAGTAAAGTAGCAATAAATTAGTAATAATTAGTAAGAAAGTATTAGATAGTAATTAATTTAAATGACCAAAATTTAATTAATTCAATCGTAACAAGGTGTTGCAATTAATTTAATCGTATACGTTGGTCTAACGTTACTTTTACAAGTGTTATAGATTTGTTTTAAATTATGATTGTTACCCGCAACAGGACGTTCGTAATGCTCCCTCCATTTCGAGTATTTATCTTGGCTAAGTTTGCGGAAATTATTCAAATCTCCGCTTCTCTCTCCCGTTATCACTTCCAAAACTGCAACGATATTGGAGATGAATATATAACAATAAACAATCTATAATAAATATAACGTTCGTTGAGGTATTACCAAATTCAGATATATTATAAAATTGAGGGCACACGTATCCTGCCTCGCTGAAGGTACAGAAAACATCGTCCCAAAGACCGCAATAGAACGATGTCCCGTTATGTATCACTAGTAAATCGTCAAATTGCGATATCATGCGACTGCTTGGTTGATGAATCGCGCAAGCGACCGTGCAACCTCCTTTTGCTATTTTATGCAACAGTCCAATTACCTGTACGAAATGGACCATTAATTTTTTAGATCGTTCCCTTCGAATTATCAAGTCGCGACGAGCCTGAATTATGAACCTGATTCGAAGATGCACTGTCGAGTCCGCTGGTTGGTTCGTCGATTAACAAAACGGATGGTTTCGTGGTTATTTCTACGCCGATCGACAATCTTTTTCGCTCTCCGCCGCTTAGGTTTCCCACTAGAGTGTTCAGGCAGCTTGTCAAGTTCAGATTTTCTGCTATTTCCGTCACCTGCAAGTTCAAACACAGTGGGTAGTCGAATTTTCAAAAATCTCAAATTTTTAAACTGAATTTTTAAATATTACAATTTTTAAATTAAATTTAAAAATTGTGACGTTCGAAAATTAAATTTAAAAATTGTGACATTTGAAAATTAAATTTAAAAATTGTGATATTTGAAAATTAAATTTAAAAATTGTGATATTCAAAAATTAAATTTAAAAATTGTAATATTTGAAAATTAAATTTAAAAAAATTGTTACAAATGTTACAATTTTTAAACATTACAATTTTTAAATATTACAATTTTTAAACATTACAATTTTTAAACATTACAATTTTTAAATATTACAATTTTTAAACATTACAATTTCTAAATTTAATTTTCAAACGTTACAATTTTTAAATTTGATTTTCAAATGTTACAATTTTTAAATTTAATTTTCAAATATTATAATTTTTAAATTTAATTTTCAAATGTCACAATTTTTAAATTTAATTTTTAAACGTTACAATTTTTAAATTTAATTTTCAAATGTCACAATTTTTAAATTTAATTTTCAAACGTTACAATTTTTAAATTTAATTTTCAAATGTTACAATTTTTAAATTTAATTTTCAAACGTTACAATTTTTAAATTTAATTTTCAAACGTTACAATTTTTAAATTTAATTTTCAAACGTTACAATTTTTAAATTTAATTTTCAAATATTACAATTTTTAAATTTAATTTTCAATTATTACAATATATAGGCATTTTGTATTTTCGAATAAAAAAAAAGTTCCTCTCCAAAAATGAACACGACCGAATGTAATTATACTGTCGTGCAAATCAATTAGGGAACCAGTTTCCTAAATTGGCGATGTATTTAAAAGTGCTTTTTGGTTTTAGGCTTTGGTTTCTCGTAATGTTTCAGTCTGCTTTTACTCGACTCTGAAATCGTTCTTGACAAATTTCGCTGATCCAATATAGGAAACTTTCCTCTGTACATATATATATATTTCCTATCTATTTTTATTGTAAAATTTAGCAAATTTCACACGCTGAACGTACAATGAAATTGACAGTACGCTCGTCGTGAATGTCTCGTGTCTTCAAACGTGCTGCGATGTACAGTGTTTCCTTGGCAGTGAGCAACGGTTGAAGCGCGAACTCCTGCGGTATCAAACATATTTGCTTTCGGAAAGCATTGCCATTCCATTCGTCGCCGTTAATGGTGATCGAACCATTAACATTAACATCTGGAGTTCTCGCGCTGCATATAACACGAAGCAACGTGGTTTTTCCAGCGCCGGATGGGCCGACAATTGTCGTCAATCTCCCAGGACGAAAGCATCCTGTCACGTTCTTCAACACCGTCTTTGATTTCCCTGTACGAGGAAACAGAGAGAGATTTCATTTTTCCCCAGAAGAGTTTTATTCGTGCTATTATCTCTGATGATAAATCTTCTACTTTTGTACACTTTACGTATACTTCTCAATTTCTCATAAAAATGCACAAAAAAATTCACAGTCACGTTATTAATATTCGATGAACTTCCACTGATAATTGTGATGGTGGTACGATGTGCAACATGAATAATTACGAATGTGTGAGTAGTTACATCTGGATAAAAATCTAACGTTCGCGAAACTACGTTCAGTATTACGTTAACAGTATTTCATGTTATTATCCTTTTTTCTTTTCTTTTAATAACGTTCTTACGCTCGCGATAGAAATCACACGAATAATTTATGTAAATCGGTGTCTTTGTGCAATCCATACGTAAATCACCTTTGACTTTCGCTTCATTTCTTTATTCCAATCACTTTAATGCAACTTGTTTTTCAATTTTACGGCGCGACTCGCAAATAAGTTGATACTTTCTGATTACCTATTTGCTAATTTCGCATACTTGCTTTACCTATCTTACTAATTTTGGCATACTTGCCTTTGCTGGAGCACACAGAGTACGAGAGGCTGTCAAACTCTATGTGCATCCTGGCAACCGAGCGGGCGTCTGAATTCAAAAACTGTTCGCCTCCTCCAATTGTCAGTTGAACGGCGCGTCCTTTTTCCTCGATCATTCTTGTCGATGAACCAACGGCTGCGTCATCGAGATACTCACCCATTTCAAAAATTCCTACGTTTCGACGACTGGTTAGACGTATACTTAAAATAATGGCCGAGATAGATCACTGGAGTTTAATCTGCGATGATGGATATTTGTTTGCCGGGCTCTGTGTTATCATCTGTTATCTGTTATCATTGTACATGTGCAACAACGATTACGAGTGACTGCTTACGAGGCGGAAATATCGTAAACAAAGAATGAAAATATATCACTTAAAGTACTCTGCGTTCACTTTACGAAGAGAAATAACTGCTAGTTGATACATAAGAAATTATCGAAAGCGAAGAAGATATATATATATATATACACGCACTTTCAGAAAAATCACAAACAACGTGCCTTGTGATGGAGAATCATCGACCAGTTTAGATTCATTGAATACAATCTCCAAGATTCTCACGTTTCGGATAACGTAACGACAAACGAAATTTCGAAGTAATTGACGAAGCGGATCCACGAAGTTAAAAGCGGCTCTATAATGAAGGAGAGCCAATTTTCACGGGATTTATCGGATTCACACTGCCTGGCGGATGGTGCAGCGTTCGATCGCTGCATTTCATTCAACAAAGAACGCAACAGTTTGCAGCCGACGATGCTCGTGAATTCGCTACGACGCGGCGACTGTTGATCAAGTCTTTATTACAAGGCAGGGCCGCACAACTTTCTCTCCAGAGGCAACTGCCTAACAGCGGTTGGCCTTGCATTCGAGTTCGTTTTGCTACGTACCTTTGCTTAAATCATTAAAATGTTAGGATCGTTTCCGCATATGAATTGCTCGTTACATTTTCTTCGTCCTTTCTTCCAAATTTGTTTTTTCCTCGTCAATTTATTTATATATTATTTAATTATGTATTACATATTATTTATTTATATATTATTAATATTACATTAATAGATTATATTAATGTAATACTTTAACATGTTAATATATTATATATTACATAATGTATTAATATATTATTAATATTACATTAATATATTATAATATTATATTAATATTATATTAATATATTAATATTTTAATATGTTAATATATTACATATTACATCATGTATTAATATATTATTAATATTACATTAATATATTATATTAACGTAATACTTTAACATGTTACATAATGTATTAATATATTATTAATATTACATTAATATATTATATTAATGTAATACTTTAATATGTTAATATATTATATATTATATAATATATTAATGTAATATTAATATGTTAATATATTATATATTACATAATGTATTAATATATTATTAATATTACATTAATATATTATATTAACGTAATACTTTAATATGTTTATATATTGTATATCACATAATGTATTAATATATTATTAATATTACATTAATATATTATATTAATGTAATACTTTAACATGTTAACATATTATATATTACATAATGTATTAATATATTATTAATATTACATTAATAGATTATATTAACGTAATACTTTAATATGTTAATATATTATTAATATTACATTAATAGATTATATTAATGTAATACTTAAATATATTAATATATTATATTGATGCAATACATTATTATATTATTAATATTACATTATCACACGTTTTAAATGTTAATCCGTGTCATATATTTCGGTCGTCCAGAATAAAAAGAAATAATGAAGATTGTCAGTTTTTTTTTTAACAACTCGTTTATAATTCGCAAACTTTATAGGAGCACGCGAGTTGAATACGTGAGCTTGTCGAGCAATCAAGAGAATCGTTTCAATAATTTTCCGATTAATTCTGGGTGAATTGTCGTTCCTTGGTAGTCAAATAGCGAAATTCGAAACGAACTGAAAATCAATGAACATATTTGGTTCTTTTTTTTTTTTTTTTTTTTTTCTTTTTATTAGTAGAATTACGATTATACGCGTGACATTTTTTTTATCTGCAATTAGTGTCTGAAAAGTTACGCAAACCTCCATTACTTTATTGTTTATGATAACCGCGAAGAAAAATTTATTTCATGTTTAATTTTTCAACGAATCGTGGCAACCGGCCGCACCTCAGTGTATAACTGTTAATTAAAATTGCATCGCATCGGTTGATACGGTTTTTATCAGTGTTTGTGAAGTTATGTATCCCATCTATTATTTTATTGTTTCCAATATCACGGAGGAAAATTTATTTCTATTCGAGAGTTTTAATTTTTAAACTGCTGCACCTCCATGTGCGATTGTTAATTATAATTGCAACACGGGCTGATGCGATTTTTATTAGTCCATCGTTTCGTTATGTTCCCAACACTGCAAAATTTTATTTCATCTTTAATATCTGTCGATTTGGTGCGAGTTGAATGTACAAAAGTTAACGGTCCACTTGAGGATTCATGAAGAAACTTTTTTTCCTTTTGTAATCAGAACGCAAGAGTTGTCTAATGTTCGTGAATGACTTTTGATTTCAGGGTACCTTTACCGTACGGCCACGCGCCCTCGATGATCCCAATGAGGAGACAAAGCATTCGCTGCCATTTTGTCAAAGGAGTGGACTGGTGCAGCTGGAAATTAATCGCTATGATACTGCTTATGGTCTCGCTGTGCATAACGGCAGCGCTGGCCTACGTAGTTGGTAAGTCGTCCTCTAATTTATACTTTATACTCATCCATTTAAGCCAGTTCGTTGACGATTAATAATTAATCGACTGTCGTCACTGAATACAGAGCGACTTCACTGATAAATAACTAAATCTTAATAGATCCCTTGGATCTCTTTAACATTTGAAAATTGGCAGAAATAGTGAATGAATGAACGTATGAATTAATGAAACAATCTCGTTAACTTTGTTTCGTTGTGGGTATAATGTGCAACACCGTAAATAAATAAATAAGTTCTTATAACATACGATCAAAAGTCACTTCCTATTAAAAGAAAAGGAGCACAAATGTACGAACGCTCTGGCATTATTTGAAAGAAATAATTTTTAAAGCATTGATGAAAAAAATTTAAAAAAGCTTAAGTTTAATTTAAAATTAACAAAATTATATTATATTATATTTGAAGTTTTGTCAAAAAAAAAAAAAAATAGGTGGGAAGAAAGTTTTGGTCTATCCTATGTAATAAATAATACTACAACAATATAATAAATATCTGTGATGAATAAATTAAACAAAAGAAAGAATAAAGAGATGTTCTGTAAAATCCACCGAATGTTTACCGAATAAAATTGATCCGAGCTAAAATTAAAACTAAAAATCCAGCACCGACGTGACACGATTTCGTTTTCGATTTCAGTTTCCAGCATAGTGAACCGGTCGTACCAGGGTACGAAAGCGTGCGCGGTCCTGGTCGGCGAGAACTCGGACACGAAACCGCTGTCCTCGGACGGGAACAAGACGTCCACGTCGGCGACCGCGTCCTCGTCGCAGTCCGGCGGCCGGACACGGCAACAGGCGTCCTCTGGAGGTAGTATCAGCCCATCGGCTAGCATGTCACAGCACGCGTACACCCGTAAACGTAGGGACACGTATAACCAGCATGCATGGTTGTTGCACCAAACTGTCTCATCCCTCGAACGCGATGAACGACCATCGTCGCCGGCCGCGACGAGCGCGGATCCTCCCCTTGGTGGTGTGGTCACCGTGCATGAAACGAAGCATGCGGACGATGAAAAAGTGTCACCCTCGTCTCCGTTGTCTCTGTCCTCCTCGACGGCTCTGTTCCCGGAGTCGTCGGAGTCGTTGCCTCGCGCCAATGTCACTGACCCGCTCGAATCTTCGACTGTCGCTAACAATCGCACCACTGTCGCTGCATCCGCCTCTGTTCAGCCTGTCGCTGGTGTCGACGCTTCCGTTTCACTCGATGATCGAGCTACGGCGAGTGAGACGACCGATTTGGACGATATCGACTCGTTTACGAGAGGCTCGATCGGCGAGTCTGGCAAGTTTGGCGACGCTCGTGTCGGAACTTTCGTCCCTGGGGCGTCTAGTTTGGAAACGTCCTCGGCGAGCGTTGAATCGATCACAAACGTGAGACGCGATCCGGCTGCACGCGGCGCGGATCAAGATTTAGAGACGACTTTGCCCGCGAATTTCGAACGCGCGTACTCTAGTATCGACGGTGGGGTATCGTCGGAGAACGACACGTACGCGGATCACGCGAATTTCCAACGTGACGAGTCTGACGTCGAATCGCCGGAGAACGTTGAACGTTCTAGCGACACGAACTTGCCCGCGAATTTTGTGCCTACCGACGCCATATCGCTAGGAAGCGTCGAACGTTCGAGCGGTTCGATTTCGTCCGCAAGTACCGAATCTTTCCCTGAAACGAAATCGGTAGAAAGCAATAGAGAGTCGACGAACGTAAGTACCGCAAGCACGTTGGCGAGCGTAGTGCCGGCGCAAATAGTAGAGCACGTAGATGTCGCTAGTTTGATATCTCCAAAGACCGACAGCCCGAGGAGATCCGAGGAGGAAGACGGTAAGAATCGAGAAGCGGAGATTGCTCTGAACGAACCGACGGATCGCAAGTACGCCGGTTTCTCCAACTTCTCGGACGTGGTGAAAGAGATCCAAGAACTGTCCCGCGAGGATGTTTCGTCCGAGTCGGAGACTCACCGGAATTACACAAATAGCTCGGAAAAATCCGAGGAACTCCAACGAGACTACCCCGTTTATAACTACGGACAGGACGAAGTGGAGATCGTGAGACTAAGCCAGGAAGGAACAACGAGGAACAAAGAAGAACGAGATCTTCCTTTGGAGAACGAGCTGAGGACCAACAACGTCCCTCGTAAGTCAAGCTTGGCGCGACAGTCGGGTGATCTGAAAGTGATAACCAGAGAGGAGAGCGACGAGGAGTTTCTGAGAAAGTTCGGCGACATGTTCAACCACGAGAGATCCTCGGAGTCCACGCAGGAGGAGAGCAAGCCTAACCTAGCCGAGTCGTCATCGCACCCTTTAACGCAGCAGGTGAAAATCATCGAGGTGCCGGTTGATCGTTCTCGCCAATCGTCGTCGTCGTCGTCGTCGTCGTCGTCGTCGGGATCATCGCAGAATCATCGGGTGCTTGTGAACATCACCATAGCTTCCGGGGACTCGAAACCGCTTTACGTGCTTTCTGTGTCCGTGCCGACCGGTGGCGAGGATACCGTTGATAACAAGCGAGCGTCTAACGTGAACGTGGACGAGACACACGTGAAGGTGCACGACGACACACCAGCGGTGGACGATGACGCTTCGAGCATGGCGAAGAACTCTGCCGCCGCTGCTGCTGCACCCGAGGACAATCGTTTGCCTCCGCCGCCTCAGCCACCGTCTTCGCCACCACCGCCGATCTGGGCCGGTGGCGAGTGCGAGTGCTCCTGCCCGTGCATGGGCTCGTCCTCTGACGAGTGGGACACGTTTTCAGCAATGGACGATTCCTCCCTACTCGGTTTCGAGGATCTGGCGCACGGTTCGAACCTCTCGATGGACGAGCATCGAGAGACAACGGTGTCAGCGTCGTCTAAGGACGAGGCAGAGAGTCGCGCGGGCTCGAAGGAGGAGTCTATGAGCACGAGCTATGAGAGTACGACGACCGAGGAGAGTACCGTGGCTACTGTCGAGTACTGGACTAACTCGAGTTCTGAGGATCAGACGAGTGGTGTAGGGTTGTCGTGTTCTGGGACAACGCCGTTACCCCCAGAACCCACTATACTGATCCTGGAAGGTGAGGCCCCGTTTTATCGTTAACTCGCTTTCCAACGTTCACTCTGTTTTTACTCTTTTGGCCCTCTCGATTCCTTACTGGATGCGGATTTCCTTTTTCTTTTCTTCTTTTTTTCATTTGCTGTAACATATCTGTTTGCTTATCTCTCTTATTCTTACTCTTTTCTCTCTCTCTCTCTCTCTCTCTCTCTCTCTCTTTTTTACTAGTAGGATATCTTTCCCGAGCTGACACGCAGAAGCTTTTCTTCCAGAGCTTGGATAATATTGTTTGTACTGTTATGTATATACAGATATTCGCGAGGTAGCGGTTGTTGTTAGATTACGGACGTTTGTGCAAATTTACTTTGCTCTATCGCGTGAAAGAGATATTTTTATTTTTACGCGAGGGGAACGCGATAAGTCTTCTACGAGGGGGGAATATTGATCTACGCATTTGAGTCGTATTTCCTCTTTTAACCGCGGCTAGAAAAATTTGAAATTCCTCGTAAACGTCTGTAATCTACTTATTATACCGGAAGTTCGTTTGCCTGTTCATTGGGTTTAGACGTTGGATGGTGGTTGGAGAAGTTTGCACAATATTGTAGTATAGTGCTGGTGCATCGTGACGTTTACGCAACTACGTAACCGAGGTATTTCCTAATCAACTGTTGCACAAGATTCTCGGGACAGGGAGAAAGAAAAAGGCTTGATAAGAATTCGTTCGAGGATTCCAACAACCAACCCCGTTTTTAAAGCTCAACTCTCTCTTCTTCAAACATGTCAAAATTTCAGTGTTCAAGATTAAAATTCGTCAATTTGCAAATGGACAAATGGTTGAGAATCAATTCTATTTTCTGATTTATTTCAGCATTTTGCTTCTAAGACTGACAGAAGCTGATCGAAATTTATGAATTTACCCTAACAGACTTTTCAGACCAGTTAAAAAACAATTCGTTTGTATGAATATTGTATCATGTAACGTTGAAATCGAAGTCGTCGACGAGTGAATGAGGCTAGAACTTGTTAATCAATGGATTATGTTTAACAGTTAGAAGTTAGTTGTACGAAAGAAAGTCACACAATTCGCTGATGCGCAAGCCTAGCTAAGTATAAAGCCACGCAATTGTTTTTACCCTTTACGCTTCACATTTAAGCAAGAGCAATCAGTTTTCTTGAGGAGGACGTCATTCTTCCACATTTTAATCACGCTATTACGTGATTACGATGACCGAATTGAACAATTAATTGAATTTCTCTGCTCGGTTAATGTGATCTTCCAACTTGAAGAAACAAATTCGGATCGGTTTTTTCGAATATTAAACACTGTCGATTAGCGACACAATTTAAACGTGAAAACAGTGGAATAAACTCAGTTGTAATTTACACTTTGGATTCTAGAATTTTCTTATCAAACTTACAGAGGGGAAAGTACACACTTGCAACTGATTGCGGACCATAACGAGTGACCAAAACCGTATACAATAATTCGTCGCTTTCTTTTCGAACTCGTCGGTATGAGTATCATTGGATAGAGATTATTGAGAAGCAATAAATTTATTATCTGTTTTGCCTATTTTGTTTTATTTAAATGTACTTACAACTGAGAAAATGTTACAATTTTGAAACAAAAAAATTCTCGACGTGCGCGGCAAGAGGTTGATCATTAAATGTTCTTAAATTCACGAAAGTGAAGATTTTTGTAATAAACGACAAGGTATTGAAAACTTGTGAGAATGTGCTTAAAAAAAAAAAACGCAGAAAATCGTCCGAAAGAAAACTGATTCGGCAGAAAGATAAGAGGGACGACACTGACGTTGGACGCCTCGTCTCGCTTTCGTTCTCCAGGTGCAAGAACATTCCCCGCCAGATCGTTTCCGCCTGACGGCACCACATTCGCCCAAGTGGGCCTAGGACAGAAGCTGAGCAAGGAAATACCACCGTACAGCTACTGGAACATGCAGTTTTACCAGTCGGAGGCGGCTTACGTGCGTTTCGATTACAACATCCCTCGCGGTGCCAGCATCGGCGTCTACGCGAGAAGAAACGCTCTTCCCACGCACACGCAGTACGATCTCCTGGAGGTGCTGAGTGGTTTCAAGGCCAGGACCACTCGGGCGTCCCATGTTAGTGTTATTGTATGTGCCACTGCCCCATTTTTTCATTTTCTTTTCTTCGTCTCTATGGTAGAACACGGATTGAACACGTTCAGTGTACTGCGAATTCGAATATAATATTTTGATAATTAACGGGAGAATTCGAAATTTTAGAAATTTGATGATTCGTTTGTATTTTAGAGGGATTTTGATTGATATTACAGAATTGGAGGCTTGAGAATTGCTCTCAGATTATTCTTCATCATTCGGAAAATGAAGTTGAAAGAATTTATTTGTTAATTAAATAGTTTAAATATTTTATTATCGGCTCGGTAGAATATTGAAAATTTGTAAATTTAAAGATCTGACGTTCCAGTAATAACACACACTATTTCCCGAGGTATTTTGATAGCAGCAGTAATTAATTTCGAAAGGTCTGCAACAAACAACTATCGCACTTAACGTGTTAAACCTGATCAAATGATCGCTCCGATTCAGAGTGACAAAGTCACTCAAAGAACATTTATTTCCTATTATTTTTGGTTTTTTTTTTTTTTATTAATCCTGAACGGAGCGAAGGTGATCAACTCAGACAGTTTTTTTTTTAATTTTTTTCCCTGAAGTGTCTCGTCTAAAAAAAAAAAAGAAAGAGAAAAGAAAAAGGTAGTGACGTGATAAAGAAATCGCTAAGGCTCGTTGGTTTCTCGTCTAGCCATCGATCAAGAAGGAAGTGACGCACTACATGGAGCCTGGTCATTGGTTCCTTTCGTTGTACAACGACGACGGTGATCCTCAGGAAGTCTCGTTCATAGCTATGATCGCCGAAGACATGACGCACAATTGTCCAAACGGCTGTAGCGGGAAGGGTGAATGTCTGCTGGGTCATTGCCAATGTAATCCCGGTTTCGGTGGCGAAGATTGCAGCGAGAGCGTGTGCCCTGTCCTCTGCAGTCAACGCGGTAAGTGAAATGAAAATTTTCATACGCTTGGATCGAGGACCAGCCATCGTTTTCGTTCACAATCCGAAAGTTGAAGTCAACTTTATGTTGTTAAATTCCTCTTTAACATCGGGAGAATAATTTTAATATATATTAATATATATTTATACATAATAATTTTAATAAGGAAGGATATTTAATATATATTAATATATAATAATTTTAACAAAGAAGCCAAATAAATAATTTTTCAATCACCGTGTCTATTATCTCGATTCTATAATTTTATGATTAATAAATTTCCAGATTGAAACTTTGTAATTATATTGGTCACTTGGTTCTCAATGAGTCGATAGTAGAACCATTTTTTATGAAAATTTTCCCGAGATTTGCACGATGTTTGGAAAATGTATAAATGGATGATAATTTCATTTGTCTGATAGTTTGTGATTCAGTTTTAGCGTGAAAGTGCAGGCATAATTGGAAACTGTATCTTTGTGCTCTAAAATCATCAGACGATTGCTAGTTTTAATTTTTCAACCGGAAGAAGACTAGCTTCCCAACTTTTCAAATATAATTTGTAGACTAGATCTGAAAATCAGTTTATATTTCTCAAGAATAAAATCAACCTACTTGAAATTAAATTGTTTTTGGTATTTTTCAACATTAGAATTGGCTCTATCGAAATAACCAATTTTGATAATTTTTTATTGAAACTTCACTCACAGAGATCTCGAAATTTATTTCTTATTATTCTCTTTTTTTTCTATTTCGCAGCGACTAAATATCCAAAATCTTCCAAATACATAGCTAACTTACTTTGGTATTTTTTAACATTAGAATTGGCACTGTCAAAATGGTCAAAATAACCAATTTTGATAATTTTTCATTGAAACTTCACTCACAGAGATCTCGAAATGTGTTTCTTATTATTCTCTGTTCTTTTTTTTCTATTTCGCAACGACTAAATATCCAAAATCTTCCAAATACATAGCTAACTTACTTTGGTATTTTCTAACATTAGAATTGGCACTACCAAAATGGTCAAAATAACCAATTTTGATAATTTTTCATTGAAACTTCACTCACAGAGATCTCAAAATTTGTTTCTTATTATTCTCTGTTCTTTTTTCTATCGTCACAGCGACTAAATATCCAGAATCTTCCAAATACATAGCTAACTTACTTTGGTATTTCCTAACATTAGAATTGGCACTGTCAAAATGGTCAAAATAACCAATTTTGATAATTTTTCATTGAAACTTCACTCACAGAGCTCTCGAAATTTATTTCTTATTATTCTCTGTTTTTTTTTTCTCTCTCTCTCTTTTGTTCTATCTCTCAGCGACTAAATATCCAAAATCTTCCAAGTACATGGCTAACCTACTTCAATTCCGACGCCATCCGAATAACCATCCGAACCTTCCGACTTTAATAAACTCTTACATGTCCAACGCTCCACCTACGTACAGTCCGACACCACCGCAACGAAACAATTTCTTATTCGATCGCTTTAACACCGATTTTATTCCCCCTCCCCTGTGGCGGACAGGCGAATACATAAACGGAGAGTGCCAATGCAACCCCGGCTGGAAGGGCAAGGAGTGCTCCCTGAGACACGACGAATGCGAAGTGCCTGATTGCAACGGGCACGGACACTGCACGAACGGCAAGTGCAATTGCGTACGCGGCTACAAAGGGAAGTATTGCGAGGAAGTGGACTGTCCTCATCCGACTTGTTCCGGCCATGGTTTCTGCGCGGAGGGCACCTGTATCTGTAAGAAGGGCTGGAAGGGCGCGGATTGCAGCCAGATGGACAAAGAGGCGTTACAGTGTCTGCCGGACTGCAGCGGCCACGGGAATTTCGATCTCGAGACGCAGACTTGTCTGTGCGAGCCCATGTGGTCCGGGGACGATTGCTCGAAAGGTATAACGAAATGCATCCCGAATTTTTAGCTTTAATCCTCTTGGAAGATCGAAGAGGAATTTGACAAGTTTTTAGGAGATTCTAGGTTTCTTTCATATTGTCAAATTGTCTGACAAGCTTCCCTCTTTAATTGCGAAATTTAGAAAATTCCAACGTTTCGTAAAAAAAATGCATAAATTTTAAATATAACAGGTTTTATCTTTTATTGTCAAAAAATTGCCCGACAAGCTTCCCTTAATTGTGAAATTTAGAAAATTCCAACGTTTCGTAGAGAATGCATAAATTCTAAATATAATAGTACACGTAAATTTTCGTATTTCCTTCGCGCGGTATGTTTAAACTTTTCACTCTGTTCCACTTTTGATTAATCGTTTAATCTTATGTTTCCAGGTGTTACGACGAATCTTTACGTTTTGTATCAATTCTTTTGTCCCGTTTTTGTGTGTATATCACGTCGATTCAGTTTTTCCAGATTTAGTGTCAACTAATTTCGATTTTTACCCTAGCTTCTGCGTTGCTTAGACTGATACTAATTTTTGTTTTGTCAGAGAATTTTGAAACGTGACGTTAGTAGTTGTAAGTTTACTCGAGCAATTTTCAGTTGTCGACGATTGCAGCGAGTAAGTGAACTGCGGATTTTTATGCGTTCGCGCGTGCGAAATTCAAGGAACTGAAATGAACGTTTCGAATTTGGACGACGAATTTTTAACAAGATCTCATCTTTCGAAATTTTCTAGAATCAAAGAATTCAAATTAAAGAGTTCAAAGTAGAGAACCTTCGAAGATTAAAAAACTCAAAGGTGAAGGTTTGTAACAGTTGGAAATTTTCCAAGAATCAACCAATTCAAAAACATCTACTAGAAGATTAAAAATAAGGAATAAGTTTAAAAGTCGACAGAGAATTTTCAAAAATCGAGAAATTCAATGAAAAGCTTTGGAGAGCCAAAGATCTCAACGTAATAACAATAATAAGAATAAATTTGAAAAAAAAAGAACAAAATTAATTCCATCGAAGAAAGAAACCACCCCCGTTCACGTAAAAATCCACAGTCGTCAAATGAAACTCATCGCTATAACAAACCCACGCAATAACAATCAATGTAACCGATTAATTTGCAGAACTGTGCGACTTGGACTGCGGCCCCCACGGACACTGCGTGGACAATGCTTGCGACTGTCTTCCAGGATGGTCCGGCGAACTGTGCAATTTGAAGCAGTGCGATCCTCGATGCAACGAACACGGCCAATGTAAGAACGGCACCTGCCTGTGCGTGACCGGTTGGAATGGAAAACACTGCACAATGGAAGGTTGCCCGAATTCCTGTTCCGGGCACGGACAGTGCAGAGTCAGTAACGATGGCCAGTGGGAGTGCAGATGTTACGATGGCTGGGATGGCAAGGATTGCAACGTGCTCCTCGAGCAGAACTGTAGCGACGGAAGAGACAATGACAAAGGTACAAAGAACGAGTCCAAAAAAAGGAGCGTAGTGTTAGCTGAGCAAGTAGGAAGTTAGGCATCATATCATTTGGAAGACGTAGAATTAAAAGAGCAGGATAAATATTTCTTTTTAATGACAGCACACTGATTTTGGTTCGGACGAAATTGAATTCGAAAAAGGAGGGAATTGTGAAACTTGTAATTCAATGACGTTTACGTATTCGATTGTATGTTTGAAAGAAATTGAATCATTTGAATCAAGTAAAATGTTACTTGTAATTTGACAAGAGGATCGAATATCAAAAGTATCCTGATAGGATATTTTAACTAGACTAATTTAGTCTACAAATCATTGAAAGAAGTATATACATACGTGCAAAGAATATTGGAAATATTAAAATAATAAAGGTAGCGAAAAGCGATGATTGTTTGTTAAAATTTTCACCGATAGAGTAGAGGTAATGAAGTTATAAGAACCTATAGACAAGGTTCCGCCTTCGCGTTTCATTTTCATATTACCTCGAGCTCTAAATCATGGGTGTGGTTTATGTCAGCCATTAAGACCATTAGTCCGGAGTAGTCTTTATCCGATAAAAAGAACCCATTAATAGAGTCTAGGACAAAACGATGATCCCAAGATATTATCTCAACCTAATAAGTGCGATATTAACACAAAATATATATAAAATATAAATTCAACGAAAATATTCCACTGATTTGATACTAGAAGCAACAGCTACAATATAAAACTTATGTCAGAGAAACAAAAAGTCCAAGAAATGTAAAGAAATTTCTTATAAATCTCCAAAACTATATCATTATGAAAAATCCATAAATTATACCAGTTTATTACAAATTACCAATTGGACTACCAAATATTATCACATCATCAATTTTCACCACTCTGACAATTTCAGAATCAATAAACGAGACATCTGTTTCCGCCGAGGTTTTTATTTTAATAAAAATTTCGATCGATACCTTTACATTAATCCAGCGACAGATGCATCAGTCACTCACGGAGAATCTTTTCTAATTGTACGATAATGTACTTTGCAGACGGTCTCATCGATTGCGCGGATCCGGAATGTTGCTCGAATCATATATGTCGTAGCAGCCAGCTTTGCGTGTCGGCACCGAAGCCGATCGATATACTTCTGCGAAAGCAGCCGCCGGCCATCACCGCCTCCTTCTTCGAGAGGATGAAATTTTTAATCGACGAGGGCAGCCTTCAAAACTACGCTCGCCAGGAGACCTTCAACGAGAGGTGAGTGTCCCCCGTCAGTTCAAGACGACGTGCCACGATTCTCCTATTTTACGTCCAAACGCGTCTCGTTACTCTACACGAAATCATTCTGTTGATATTTCAGTTCGAACGACGATAGCTGATTATCGAATTATTGCATTACGCTACGCGATAATACGTGTACGCGTTATAGTATTTCAACACAGAGCGGGGTGGAAATAGTGGAGTGGTAAGAATAAAAAGAAAATTCGATAAAAATTTTTCAATAGAAATTCTTAAATTTGCGTTTTTTTTTCGCTGTGAAAAAGCCAGGTTTTTGGGGGGGGGGGGGAAATTTCGACAATTTGCCAAATATAGGTGTTTAAATTTCTATTTGATTGTCCCACGAGCGAGAAAAAAAAGTACAACAGTTTTTGAGAAAATGGTTTCCGAAAATTTGTCAAACGTGGACATTTGAGTTAGTCTAGTTTTCGAGTTGGACAGATTATTCCACGAGAGAGAGAAAGAAAAAAAAAGGAACAACGCGATACAATATTTTTTCGAGAGAACGAAATTTAAAAATTCATCAGACATCAGTGTATTAATAATTGAAATTCTATTTTTCCCAAAATGTGTGGCTTTATAAGTCGAAAATTTCACTCTACGTTCTTCATTTATTTCCGTGCGTGAAATAACCATCTGTCAACTTAAAAAAAAAAAAAAAATACAACACTGTGTGTTGTCATGTTTATCATTATATATTTATGTATTATAATTATAGCGGACTGTTATTGCATTTGTTAATTGTTCATTGTAAATTTGAAATGATATATAAAAATTTTTCCACTCGATTTCAAATCCACCCCACTCTGTATATTGTAACACACCGCGAAGAAACGAATATATATTCGTCGTACATTGAATATAATACTTGAACGTGTCCGTCCCGTTCGTCCGTCCCGAATTTGATGTTACGTGCAATTATACTTTTCTTTTTTTTTATGTGTGTTCGATTAGACACTTGGTAACAGATACATAGAAACTCGGTAGCCACGACATATTATAAATATGTGATACGTAATGTCTTATTGACGACGTATACGTCTGAAAAGATGCGCCTGTTGCGAGGTGACTAAAGATTATTTTAAAGGAAATTTAAGGAGATTCAGACGGCTGACCAACGCTATCCACTGCTACTGTCGCACATGGTCTCTTTCATTATTTGCATAGTAAATATTAGTTTTCGCTGCTTTGGATCAATTGCTACAATAAATATGAATTATTGCCACATGTGGCGTTCTAATGTATAAAATAATTATATATATAATGATAAATATAAAATTAATAAAAAGATTAGTATATAGGAAGAACATGATAATTTTAAAAACTGTGTTATATATTTTTGCGTTTTATTATAATCTGAAGTGTTCAGTTTTTAACTTTCTTCGAGAAACAGGTATTGCAGTAATTGGATTACTGTATCTGACATAATTTGCTCTAATGATTAATAGATGAAGCAACCATTTTACCTAGATTACAATTTTTCAACCATCATTCACAGAAAAAAGAAAAAAAATAGAAAAATTTGCTCCGCAATATTATAATTTCACATAAATATTATAATTTCCAGATTTGCATAAATAACCTTTAGCTGCCTCCGCAACAAGACACAACGGCGTCCAATTCTGTTTTTTGTATTTGTATAAATACGTATATATTTTCGTTATGTACAAGAAACACGAAGACGTATACATAGATATGATATATTCTCTGCGTTGTTGTGACCCGTGTGAAATCACATCCCAAAAGTTTTATACATATGTTTGTACGTACGTGTGCGCGAGCGTGTGCCCTGCACTCAACCCCCCCAATTCTCTTCTTCACTCTTCTACTTCTCATTCTATTCTACCTTACTTACTTTTCTTCGTCTATATCGCTATACTCTGTTTCTCAAATCACAACGATATCGAGATCGATCGACGAGTACGTCCAACCGAACGATCGAACTGTACTTTCTTTCTTCTCTATTTCTATATCACCGTGTCCGTCCGAGTGGAGCTTGCGTGAATGTGTGACTCCATGTTCGAGCCTCGAGCTTTACGCCTGTGATCATTTTTATCATGACAGAGGGAGGATTTTACTGCTAATTTGAGGTTTACCGTGGCTCACGAAAATGTTTACTCAAGAAATTTACCGCAAATATTGTACATATGATAATTTTACTTTCCCAAATGATAAATTTCAACCGCGAATTTTTTGATTGTACACGCATGAATTTTCATATTTTTTTTTTTTTATTATAGATCTTCTTAATACCGAACATACTATAGCGTGATTTGTAATGAATTTTTTTTTTTGTGTCGATAATTAACGATAGGACAGAAAATTGAATTCCAAAAACTTTTGAAATTCGAAGAATACTTTCGTGAGCCTCTGCATTCAGAAACGTGTATTTCCTGGCGCACTTACAGACTTCTGTCTAAATTTCTCTCGAAGACATTCGAAGAAGTCGAAGGATACCCCAAATCCAAAACATCTATTTCACATTCCCTGCTGTCGTGTATCCTAGATTTTTTTATTTCATTGAATACTCAACGTATTCAAAGATATTTGACGTAATGAAATAAAGTCATTTCGAATCCCTTGTCGTCCCCAGTTAACTCTGCTGCGAAATCCTACAAATTTGGATTTTTTACAATTGAAAATTCACCCACGAGAAACATGAGAAAATTTAAGAATACTTTGATCTTCAAATGCACGATCTTCTTCGACTTTGTACGTTTGAAATTTAAATAAAGTAGTATGCATAGAGTTTGATAAATTTACAATTATATATATTTAATAAGAAAATTTACTAAATAAAACTGTAGCTTTAGAATTGGAGATATTTTGAGTTCAAAAGAACGCAGCAGGGTTGATCGAACAATTTCTCTCTATCTTCTCCAGTTTCTCTCTCTGTTTCTCTCTTTCTCTTCTCTTCTCTTCTCTATCTCTCCATCTAAGTCTCGCCTTTAATCACATCATTTTAACTCGGCTCTGTTTTATCCGTGCTGCGCTATAAGTATGTTTTGGAATCACTTCAACACAAGGTAAGAAAGCTTACTACGACCAAGAGAAAGAAACTAACCAAAATAAAGAAAAAAAAAAAAAAAAAAAAAAAAAAAAAAAAAGGGAATTAAAAACTTAAAAAAAAAAAAAAAAAAAAAAAAAAAAAAAAAGAATTAAAGAAGTAAAAAACCGGTTGCGAGTTCGTTTTGTAGAGTTGAATAGCTGCTGATGCTGTTTGACGACGTTTTTTGCATTTGGTATAGTGTGTGACACATGAACATGACAAATTCCCGCATCCAAACAAAAACGAGGTTGTTACGCCCGCGTCCGACTCAATTTCGAGAACGTGTACCGCTTCGAGATTTGTCGAGAAATCTTTTCAAGAACAAAGTCGTTTGAAGAAGTTTGTCGACAAAAGTGAAGACGAGTCGTGCTCGAAACATTGTACGACGCTGCGTACGACTGTTAGGAGAAAAAAAAAAAAGAAAGGAAAAAAAGAAATGAATAAAAAGAATAAAAAGAGAAAATATATAGGAAGCTCACAACCACCAGAAAACAACCCCATCGTCTCCTTCTCATCAGTGTTCGAATCTCTTTCTCGTTGCATGGTTTGGTTACCTTATTATTCCTACGTTGTCTTTCGTGCCTTTTAAGTTGAGCTTCTGACTTTGTGTTATTCGTGTATATGTGTATGTATATATATGTAATTAAATCGGCGGTCCGACCGATGCTTCTTCAGTGCCAACGAGGCGTCCGTGTTTTTTTTTTTTAAGGGATAATGTTGATGGTTTTACAAGTATTCAGGTTTGACGAGAGATGGATACCGATACTTTTGTCTTGAAATTTTGTAGGAGTAAATGTCACGGAGTGCTGTCTGTAAACGAAGGAATTAATTGTAGTTCTGTTTCTAATTTCCAGTTTTAAACTGAATGAACGATTAGTGAGTTTTTTTTTTTTTTTTTTTTTTGGCTAATTTTAAATTAGTAAATTTCGTGTATTTTTATTTTAGGAAATTGATGGTGTTAACTTTGAGAAATTTGGAAGTTCCAGTGTAATGAGTAACAAATGAATCACCTCTTTAGCACTGAAAAGCGACGTTGACGAGACTGAAGTCACGTTGACTGAATTTTTCTCGCGAGTTTGACTTTATTTCCGAGACATGTACACGCACGAAGTAATACCAGTAATACTTGAACGAAAAAGTACTGCCACCTGAAACAGTCGTGAAAAGTTTACAATTCTTGCAAAATTTCATCGATTCTTTATTAACTTGTTAAATTGATAGATAATATGATCTATCTAATCCTATATGAAATAATTTTAATCATGTAGGAAAACGTGATTACACCCAAAGATAAAAAGAATTTAAAAACCAAATTGTTACCTATTTTTACGGGAAAACAGTCTCAAAATTTAACACACAAATGTCCATAAATGTTCTTTAATCTTCATTTCAAAAATTTCGAAATACCAAAAGCAACATTGAAATATCCCTTGTCTTCGTGAAATCATATTTGTTATATTTCTCGACTTCTGACTGATTCTTAAACTCTCCGAGATCCATAGCCTTTCAATAAAACCAAACTTGTCGATCTCGCTGAACTTGCTATTACTCGACTATTAACTTGATCACATTGCCAGTACATTTTCGTTCTCTGTCTAATTCAAACTTGTCAAACACTGCAAGAGAAACGTACCAACTTTGGAAAGTAATACTGTAATATTACTGTAGATTGGAATTAGATTAGATGATGATTGTTGTTAGTGTGCCACGGTGCATAGTTATTTAAAAAAAATATATATATATATATATGAGAAACATTAGTTTGACACGACGTTCGTTAGTTTAAGATAGCCATTGGGTTGTTTAACATTTATTGTTTCCTGGCAGCCGATCGGCTGTTGTTCGTGGCCGCGTTGTCACGCATCTTGGCACCGGTTTGATGGGAGTGAGAGTCAGCACCAGCACACCCCTGGAAGGCTTCACGTTGACGAGAGACGACGGCTGGTTCGATCTACTGGTGAACGGGGGTGGCGCGGTCACTCTACAATTTGGAAGATCGCCATTTAATCCGCAGAGCCACATTGTTTTCGTGCCGTGGAACGAGGTAATATCATATTAAACATCCAGCAGACCGTTACGCGCAAGACATTGCGATTTTATCCGATCGAAAACATTCCTTTATAAAGACGTTTGAATAAAGTATTTTCTGTGGAAATTCAGACTTCCAGATTATCCAAGAAGAATATTTACGCAGCTGCGTTCAAATATATTAGAATTTTGATTTGTTCGAAATTAATATCCATGGACAACTGTAATTTCTAAAGCTTGGCGATCGTGTGATATTCATGTCGTTTGCTAGTTCGATTTTTTTAATCACGACTGACCTATATTCTTCGACTGAGCAATTTGAAAATTTGATAGGCTGCCAGTCAAAGTGACGTTTCATCTGATATCACATTTCTGGGCATGCCCGCGAATGTCGATGGTCATTATATTAATTATTATACCCATCAAATTTGATGTATATTCTCGGGGAGATTATATCTTCGAACCGAGAGGACTGATTTCTTTTCGGAATAGTTCTAAAATTATCAATCAGAATAGTTCTAAAATATCAATCAGAAATAGAAATCATTATTTTCTAAATCCACTTTTTTAAAATGGTATCTTTAAAATAGTAGTTAGCACCGTAGTTTTGATACACGAAATAATGATTTGTCTGATACATTAAACAAACATTATGTTCCTAAAATTCGAACTGAAAAGCGAATTCAAACTGAATGCAAACATTCCGAAGCATACTCTGCTTAACCCGCGGAACTTGTTCAGGTGGTGATAATCGACAAGATCGTCATGAGCATAGCGGAAGGGAAGCAACCGAACCACGTTCCACACGCGTGTGCGGCTCACGACTACGACCTGATGAAACCAGTGGTTCTGGCAACGTGGAAACACGGCTTCCAAGGAGCTTGCCCGGACAAGAGCGCCATCCTAGCCGAGTCCCAAGTGATCCAAGAAAGCCTGCAGATTCCCGGCACAGGGCTGAATCTCGTCTACCACAGCTCCAGGGCAGCTGGATACCTGTCCACCATACAGCTGCAATTAACGCCAGAAGTTATACCACCGACCTTAAACCTGATCCACCTGAGGATCACCATAGAGGGCATCCTGTTCGAGAAAACGTTTGAAGCGGATCCAGTGATAAAGTTCACTTACGCTTGGAACCGGCTGAACGTGTACAGACAACGCGTTTACGGCGTGACCACGGCTATGGTGAAAGTTGGATACGAGTACAACGATTGCAAAGACATCATCTGGGATGTTCAGACGACGAAGCTCAGTGGACATGATATGTCCATCTCCGAGGTCGGAGGCTGGAACTTGGACGTTCATCATAGATACAATTTCCACGAGGGGATCCTTCAGAAAGGGGACGGTTCAAATATTTACCTGAAGCAGAAGCCTAGGGTGATTCTAACCACCATGGGTGACGGGCATCAGAGACCTCTGGATTGCTACGATTGCGATGGACAGGCTTCTAAACAGAGGCTCCTCGCACCGGTGGCTCTTGCCACTGGCCCTGATGGATCTATCTTCGTTGGGGACTTCAATTTGGTTAGGAAGATTCTTGTGGATGGGACTGTTAGGACCGTTGTTCGGCTCAAGTAAGTTTTGTTCAAGTCTTAGTAACAATTTTAATTGGAATCTGGATCTTGATGTTAGAATATTAAATTCTTGGGACGGTTGTTCTATATTTACTCTGAGAGTAAAGTTCTCTCAAATATCATCGTTGGATTCTAGATTTATAATTTCAAAATCGAGCAGTTTATTTGTAAATTATTATGGTTCTGATGTGGTTGGGATTAACAGTCTCGGCCTGAGCTTAACCAGAACACTTGTTACACCTTCTTCCAGCGCGACAAGGGTATCCTACCGCTACCACATAGCTCTCAGCCCTCTGGACGGTTCTCTCTACATCTCTGACCCAGAATCGCACCAAATCATCCGTGTGCGAGACACGAACGACTACTCCGACCCAGATCACAATTGGGAGACGGTGGTCGGCTCGGGAGAACGTTGTCTTCCTGGCGACGAGGCTCATTGCGGCGATGGTGCGCTGGCTAGAGACGCGAAACTTGCCTATCCAAAGGGAGTGGCTGTCTCAGCGGACAACGTGCTCTATTTCGCCGATGGGACCAACATCAGAATGGTCGACAGAGATGGGATAATCACCACAGTGATTGGAAACCACATGCACAAGTCGCACTGGAAGCCAATTCCTTGTGAAGGAACACTGAACGTCGAAGAGGTCCATCTCCGTTGGCCGACAGAGTTAGCTATCAATCCTCTGGACAATTCGCTGCACATGATAGACGATCACATGGTTCTTCAATTGGCTCCTGATGGTCGTGTCAAGGTGGTTGCCGGACGTCCTCTTCATTGTGCTTCACCTTCTTCCTCCTTCGACACCGAACTGGCCACGCACGCGACGTTGGTAATGCCACAGAGCATAGCGTTCGGCCCCTCAGGAAACTTGTACATAGCAGAGAGTGACTCTCAGAGGATCAATCGCGTGAGAGTGATCGGCACCGATGGTAAAATTTCGCCGTACGCCGGTGCAGAGTCCAAGTGCAACTGTCTGGAACGTGGTTGCGATTGTTTCGAGGCTGACCACTATCTGGCTTCCACTTCCAAGTTCAACACCATATCCGCGGTGGCTGTGTCTCCGGATGGGGTGGTTCACATAGGCGATCAAGCGAACTACAGAATCAGATCCGTGATGGCGAGCATCCCCGATGCCAGCGGGGCTAGAGAGTACGAGATTTACTCGCCAGACACTCAAGAAATTTATGTGTTCAATAGATTCGGCCAACACGTGGCTACCAAGAACATACTCACCGGTGAGATCGTTTATCAGTTCACTTACAACGTGAACACCAGCAATGGGAAGCTCAGTACTGTCACGGACGCAGCTGGGAATAAAGTGTTTCTACTCAGGGACTACAGCAGCCAAGTGAACTCCATTGAGAACACCAAGGGGCAGAAATGCAGGCTCAGGATGTCCAGGATGAAGATGTTGCACGAGCTGAGCACTCCGGACAATTACAACGTGACCTTTGACTACCATGGGCCCACTGGTTTATTGAAGACCAAATTGGACAGTACGGGAAGGAGCTACGTCTACAATTACGACGAATTTGGTCGGCTGACAACTGCAGTCACTCCGACAGGCAAGGTGATCAGTCTGACGTTCGATCTGAGTCTAAAAGGGGCTGTGGTGAAGATCGGGCAGAACAACAGGAAGCCAATCTCGATGCTGATCAAGGGATCGTCCGTGGTTACGAAGATCGGAGAAGCTGAACAAAGAACGACGGTTCTTCCCGATGGATCCGTGGGTCAGGTCACGCCGTGGGCTCATACGGTCAGCACAGACACTTTGCCATATTCCGTATTAGCCGAGATAGAACCTCTGCTAGGCGAGAGCTATCCGGTGCCTGCCAAACAGAGGACAGAGATCGCTGGAGATTTGGCGAACAGATTCGAGTGGCGATACTTCCTCAGGAAGCTTCAAGGGAATAAGAATAGAGGCAACTCGAAGTCGGTGGCTCAAGTTGGCAGGAAGCTTCGTGTCAACGGGGACATACTGTTGTCTCTGGAATATGACAGAGAGACCAACAGCGTGGCTGTGTTCATGGACGACGTGGAGCTTCTGAATGTAACGTACGACAGAACTGCGAGACCAGTTAAATGGGGACCCAGAAATGGAATCTTCTCTGGCGTGGAGCTGGAGTACGATAGGTTTAGCAGACTGACCAGCTGGACCTGGGGAGACATCAGCGAGACCTACGGCTTCGACAGAGCCGGGAGATTGTACGAAATTAAGTACAGTGACGGAACGTCGATGGTGTATGCATTTAAAGACATGTTCAGTAGTCTTCCATTGAAAGTGACCACACCGAGAGGAAGTGATTATCTGTTGCAATACGACGAAGCTGGAGCGCTGCAATCGCTCACCACACCCAGGGGACATATCCATGCGTTCTCACTGCAAACCTCCCTTGGATTCTATAAATACCAATACTACTCACCGATGAACAGGCATCCTTACGAAATTTTGTATAACGACGATGGACAGATCTTGGCCAAAGTGTATCCCCATCAGAGCGGCAAGGTTGCTTACGTTTACGATCATACTGGGAAACTGGAGACTACTCTTGCTGGTAAGTGATATTCATTATTAAAAATAATTGTAAACGTTGTTATTAAAAATTTATCTTGAAAATGTAATTACCAATAATTATACATATAATTGAAGAAGCAATGTATTTTCATATTAAAACATTATAATTTGGATACCTATCCTAATTTTCTTTAAATTACTAACGTCTGAAATATCCCCATATAGGATTATCCTCGATTCATTACACTTACCAAGAAACCACCAGCCTGGTACACAGCATCGACATCAACGAGCCCAACTTTGAGATGCGCATAGAGTACAAGTACCACGCAGGAATAGTCAAAGACGAGAAGATCAAGTTCGGTAGCAAGAGCGGTTTGGACAATGCTCGTTACCGTTACCAATACGACGGCAACGCCAGGATATCCGGCATCGAGGTCGACATCAACGGCAAACAGCTTCCACAGTTACGGCTGAAGTACAATCAAAATCTTGGAATACTGGAAGGCGTGGGAGATCTGAGAATATACAGGAACCTGTTCAATAGATCTGTGATGCAGGATAGTAGCAAACAGTTCTTCACCGTCACTGACTACGACGAGCACGGTCGAGTGAAGACGGTTCTGATGAACATCCGATCGCTGGACGTGTTTAGAATGGAGCTGGAGTACGATAACAGAAATCGCATAAAAATGAGGAAACTGTCAATTGGAAAGGACGCCATGGAGAAGAAAGAGTGGACCAAGATGGAGAAGATCACCTATAACGCTGATGGACACGTGCTGGAAGTTGCCGATACGGAGAACAATTGGCAGTATGCTTATGACGAGAACGGTAATGTGATCGGGGTCACCGAGCACAACGAGAAGATCGCGTTGGGTTACGACAGTGGTGACCGGGTTGTCCAATACGGCGACGTGGAATTTAACTCGTACGATGGACGAGGATTCGTTGTTATTCGGGGAGAGCACAAGTACAGGTTCGTTTTAGCGTTTAATTATTTTTGCAAGAATTACCGACACATTACTTGTTTCATTTCATTTAACTGATCTTCAGTTCTCAAGAAGCTTCAGTTCTGATTTATATCTGTATAACGAATATGTTTCTTTACTCTGCGCAGATACAATTCACGCGGTCAGCTGATCCACGCCTCGGAGCACAAGAAGTTCCAGATCTGGTACTTCTACGACGACCGTGGCCGATTGGTAGCCTGGAACGACGACCGCGAGAACATCACGCAATTCTTCTACGCCAATCCGAAAACGCCAGACCTCATTACGCACATCCACTTCCCCAAGTCCTCGAAAACCTTCCGTTTCCTCTACGACTCGCGCAATTTCCTCATGACGGTGGAAACGTCAGAGCAGAGATTCTACGTGGCGACAGACCAGAACGGATCTCCCCTGGCGCTGTTCGACACCAACGGAAACCTGATAAAGGAAATGAGGCGCACGCCGTTCGGAAAGATCATCAAAGACACGAATCCAGACTTCTATCTGCCTATAGACTTCCACGGTGGCCTCCTGGATCCAAACACCAAGCTGGTCTATCTAAATAAAAGACTGTACGATCCAACTGTTGGACAGTGGATGACACCCGCTTGGGAACAAATGGCCAACGAGCTCACCACACCGACGGACATCTTCATCTATCGCTTCCGCAACAACGACCCTGTCAATTTCAAACAGAACGTCGAGTACATGACCGACCTGGCCAGTTGGTTGAAGCTGTACGGTTACGATATCTCCGCGATGCTCGGCTCCGAGTACATGAAGAAAATGGTGTACCAGCCCAGTGCCACCATCACGTCCCCTCAACTGACCCCAGACTTCGGCGTCATGTCTGGACTGCAGTGCATCGTGAACAGGGTGCACGAGAAATTCTCGGATCTAGGCTTCGTTCCAAAGCCGCTGCTCAAATTGGAGCCAAAGACGAGGAACCTGCTTCCTCGAGTGGCCCATCGTCGAGCCGTCTTTGGGGAAGGGATCCTAGTGTCGCGAGTCGGCGGAAGGGCGTTGGTCAGTGTGGTGGACGGCGTGAACAGCGTGGTCCAGGACGTGGTGACGTCTGTGTTCAATAACTCTTACTTCCTACCTCTGCACTTCAGCGTCCACGACCAGGACGTGTTCTACTTCGTGAAGGACAACGCGCTGAAGATCCGCGACGACATGGAGGAGCTTCGTCGCCTCGGTGGAATGTTCAACGTGTCGACCCACGAGACGACCGAGCACGGCGCGGGTACCTGGAAGGAATTGAGGCTGCACAATCCGGACGCGGCGGTGGTCATCAAGTACGGGGCTGACCCGGAGCAAGAGAGGCACAGAATATTGAAACACGCCCACAAGAGAGCAGTGGAGAGAGCCTGGGAGATAGAGAAGCAGTTGGTGATGGCTGGTTTCCAAGGTAGGGGCGACTGGTCCAAAGAGGAGAAGGACGAGCTGATCAGCAGGGGCACAGTGAGCGGCTACGAAGGCGTGGACATTCACAGTGTTCATAGATACCCGCAGTTAGCCGACGACCCGGGCAACGTGGCGTTCACGCGTGACACGAAGAGGAAACGAAGAAAGAGCGGCAACAGGCGTAACAGGATCCACAGGCACGACTCGTGATTCGAGGATGTGACGCGCGATCGTGACGCCGTTTGGGACTTGATTCACGCGCCCACGTGAATCGCGGACAAAGAACGAAAGAGAAACAGAACAAAAAACGTACCGAAAGAACACTGAAGAGAGACAAGACTAACGTTCGTTCCATCGAGCCTCGTGTGTTCGAAGGCTCGTCGTATATACATACGTGCCCGTCTATCCTCTAAATCATCCTTCCCCTCCCCCGATCGTTCTCTCTGTCCTCTTCTCGTCCGCACTCGTGGATGAAAGAAACAAAGAAAAAACAAAAAAAGAAAAAACAAAAAAAAATGGGCCTGAACGAAGAGATCTTCTCGATCAGTGACGCTGTGTGCTGTCTTTCGTTTCGTGTGTAGCAAAAACCCCGCTCGGTGTGCCATAATAGCGTCGCTTGTGATTCAATCGTGTTCGTAATCGTTTATTTTCGTCGGCAGCGCGATCCGAAGATGTCCGGAGAGAAACCATCGTGTAACTTGGTGTCCAGAGATTCAGCTAGTCACTGAAAAGAAAGAAAAGAAAGAAAGAAAGAAAGAAAGAAGGCTTGGTCACCGACTGGTGATCAAGTAATTGGTAATCAAAGAGACTTTGAAGCTATGGTGCGTGAACTTAAGGTGCCGTCCGTGATGATGAGAGGGAGAGATGGAGGACGAGTGCGTACACAGAGGGAAGAGGGTACAATCTCGTGCTCGTTCAGAGTGATCGATCGATCCGGAGCTTGGCGTATCGATGCAACACAGGGTCTAACGAGACGTGCACGTTCGAGGAGGCGTTTTCGTTCTCTTAGAAGGGATTATATTTATGCAAAAGAGACGACGATACCTTCTTCTTCGCGACCTATAGATCGATTCTGCGAACGAACGAAAAAGGCGAAAGAAAGGAAGAAAAAAAAAAATTGAAACAAAGAGAGAAGAGAGAATAGAAATACGTCGATGCAACAAAATATACAGCAGATATTTTTAACATGACGCAAAATGGTGTGCTAGTGCGAGGCGTGCGATTGTACATATAGCTACTCGAGTAATCGTAATGTGTAGATAATATATATATATATATATGATACATAATATGATATGATATATATATATATATATATATATATATATATATATATATAAAGAAATCGGTAAACTTAAGTGGAAACTGTCGATAATGCTTATATATATATGTATACATATATATATATATATATATATATATATGTATACATGTACACACGCGTGTAATGGGCGTGCGCGTGTGTACCAAACACGCGACACACCTATACAGAATATACACGTACAACATATACGAACAACACGCGAGACACCTACACTCATTTATACGTAGGAGAAAGATTGCCGATTGGAACCGATTGGGAAAAAATGCGGGAGTAAAACGGGGAGAGTAAAACGAACGGGGATTATCGGATTAAGTTTAGACTCAGGTTCACGCGCATGTTCACCCTCGTTTGCCTGTCGTCGAGGAGGTCGTCATGTCCACCTGGAAGAAACGAAGAGGGAAGCCGAAACTCGAGGCTGTTCTTCGGAAGATCACAGAAGGAAACGGAAGATGGGGGAAACTCTTGTAAATAGATTTGATAGATACGAGGAGAAGAAAAGGAAGAAAGAAGAAAAGGTTTGCGTGTCGCATTGAAATGCTATAATCCGGCGTGGAATTTGTTACGTTGTATTTTAAATGTCTCTCGTGTCAGTACGTTCGCGTGACGTGATGTAACGAGACGAGCAATAGACGTGTAAAGAGATGGCGTGACGAGATTAGTACATCGGGGTAAATAATGTCCAGGTGGAATAATAATAATAATAATAATAATAATAATAGTAATAAAATAATAATAATAATAATATGATAATGATAATAATAATATAACGGTATAATAATAATAATAATAATAATAACGTAATAATGATAGTAATAACGGTATGATAATACTGATACTAATAATAATAGTAATAACTAATAAAGAAAAAGAAGGAAAATAATATTAATACGATATAATATACTATTGTACGGAAAAAAAAATACCCCGCCTATCTTTCTACTAAAAATGAAAAATTATTTTTTGAATTGTGTCGTCAAAGATGTCCTATGTAACCCGTGTGTCTGTGGGATGGTCCCCGTGGAAAAAAAAATAATCAACCCTTACGCCCCATCGAGATGTAATCGAAGAATCTCTCTTTTTGACAAAAGAAAAAAAAAAAATGAAGCAACACACACACCTCCTCTCTATTTAAATAAGAGAGTTCTAAATTGAACTCGTCGATGTTTGTCGGTATTGGGTTAATTGAAGAAGAAGAAGAAAAAAAGAGGTGAAGAGTAGAAGTCTCTGTGGTTTCTGAAATGAGGTGCGAAGTATTCGGTGGGAGGGATGAGGTGGGAAGAAGAGAGAAAGGAAAGCAAGACGATGTAGGAAGAAAGAAGCTGAATTAGAAAGTAAAGAAAAACGAGAGAAAGGTGAAACGATAACGCGATATAATACGTATACATATAAAGGTAAACGTAAAGGAAAAGAAAAATAGAGAAAAATAGCGAGCCAACGTGCGAGCCACGTCGCTCACACCACGTTGTGTTCCGGGTAGTTGTATGCCGTGGACTTAAAAGCAAAGTAACGAAATAAAAGTAAAAGATACACATACATAATCATAATTAACAAAGTAAACGTACGCTAGGACGAGTTTAAAGAACCGTGGGATTTTTAGTAAAAAAAAAAGAGAAAAAAAAGAAAGAAAAAAAAGAAAAAACGGTGTTAAAAGACTTGTGTGCTAGTGAACCTTTAAAACGATAAACGAAAAGTAAAAAAGAAAAAAAAAAAAGAAGCCGCTGTACATATCCGTTGTGTATAGCCAGTGTGTCGCAAAACCCACGCAAAAAGTATAAGTAGATTCGCGTCCACGTTGTAAGAACAGTGCATTTTTTCTACGAAGTAACGGAAAGTGATGGCCAAAAATGGCTGGCGCGTCGTCTTTTCATTTCTTATTTCTTGTCTTCTTTTTCTTTTTTATTTTCCTCAGATCAATTAACGATTGATCGTCGCGTACGAAATTCGAGCGTAACCAATGATCACTTTCGTTCCGTTTCGTTTTCATTTGTCCGACAGTTCCATTTCCGACTCCATCGTCGAATCGACTGCATTCTAGCGCGCCAATGGGGTCGCTATCGCGATTTTTTGTTTCGTGGAAATGACGACGAGACGAGAGCCCGAAGGCACAGACACACGAGGCATATCCACACAAGTCTGTGATCCACCGATTTTTCGATATTTCCCACAAGTACACGAACTTTACAGCGGAATTTTTACATTCGATCCTGCATTTCCCAAGTTTTCTCAGCGTTCATGGCCATGAACAGCCTCGAGCTCGACTCTCGTTGTATTTTTATATTTTAGTAGCGGTATATGGAACTTCGTAGTTTCTTCGAACCGAGCTGCGTTAACGCTGTAGCGATCGATTATTTTCGAAAGTAATTTTTGTAATTGATGAAAATCATGTGACGCCATAGTCGCGTCACTGGTCGTTACAATGTTAACAACTAACGTCGAGAATACTTTCTCAAATTTTTAATTTCATGTCCCTCCCGCAATTGAAATAAAAATAACTGCTCATTTCCAGACGTAAGTTTTGTTAAATTTCAAGCATCAGTTTGTTTCAAAAACGTTTACAAACGAAGAAATTAATGTACAATTCTGAAATCCAGATTAAACTCGTGGGAATTGTTTCGAAGAAACTACGTGAAGTTGAGATTTTTGACGTGGATCGGATCTGTATCTACTCATTTCAATCAAACTAAATTCGTTCGCTAAATTTTCTTTTTGACAATCGTTTCTCTCTTCGAGGACGTTACAAAGTATTTACTGAAGACGATGCTTGTCCGATTTGTCCATTAACTCGCCGTTACCTGCCATCCGCAATGTAATAGTGTTTTAGATAGTCAGCATGCAACACACGTACGTGGTATGTGTGAGCTCTAAAAAAATGAAAGAGCCGACAAATACCACGTCAGGGGGAAAAAAAAACACTTTTCTATGTGTACTCGTCTGTAACGCGAAACGATACGTAAGGAGAAAGAGATGAGAGAAATGGAACAACGGAAATATTGAAGGTCTGTGTATTCGAGTTAACTTTACGCTTAGCGCATGGTCACCTTCGAGCGATACAACGCCGTGAGAATTCTGCTTTTCAAAAATAAAAATGCCATTTGATAACAAAAACGGTACTGTTCGAAGCTTGGAGGAAACTTTCGTCTACAGATCGTATCACTTTTACGAACGTTCGTGATTACAATCGCGAAGTTTTACATTTTTAAAAGATCTGAATGAGACATACGTTCTGATTTTTGCGTGTAGACAAGTAATTTTAATATTTTATATATTATAAATTGGCCCTGCTCTTGGCGTTGCTCTTTTATTCAACTTTGGAGTTGGAGGGTATATTTTTTCTATGCTCGTCAATTGCAATTTTTAAAAATATGTCAGAACATTAAAATGTTATAGAAGGAGATAGAGGAACATCAGAATATTAAAATATTGTTCGTCTTACAAAAATTTCAAATTTTAACACAGAAATTTGTCAAATCAATTACATCCTCGTTGTAAAGCCACTGTATTGTCCACCTTCCGAGGTGTTTTATATTCCTTTTTATATATTCCTTTTTAGTCACAAAGTGGCATTAAAATCAAAAACTCGATAATACTGAGTAATACTGAGTATTATACACTCATTTTATCTCTTCGACCGTCTTTAATATCATCTTCCAAGTGACGAACAGAAGTTACATAATATCAATCAAGACCATATGCAAAATTCATTGTATCACAATCATAACTTTTCTCACACTATCAAAATAATAATTTTTCGTCCAAAGTAATAAATAATAAACTTAAACATTTTAAATTTTAGTTATATATACCGAATAAATCTTCCCTTCGTAGCGTTAGAAATATAATTGAGAAATTGTCAAATAATACACACAATACAGCTATCAACTTAAAATTAAATCAATCGTTTATCGTTGAAGCAGACAAGTCATCGCAATCTATACGCGCGTGTAAAATAACGGAGATTCCGCAGAATTCTTACGGAGGCTGTGATCCCTGTGACGAGGTGCGAAAATTAATTATTGTTACGCTCGACACGAATCTTCGCCGTCCACTATGTTTGGAGGGCGAACCGCGATCGGCACACGACTAAAAGAAAGCAATACTTCGTAACTATCGTGTATGTCTTTAAAGAGGAAGAGAGAGAGAAGAAAAAATGAGGCAAAAGGATATATCTAAATGCGTGTAACGAGTGAAAGAGAGGGAGAGACAGAATAAAATAGCGTGCAAGAGTGCGTATGTATATCAGGTTAAAAAAAAAAAGAGAGAGAGAGAAAGGAACGTTCGTAATGAACGAACGAATGAATGAGCGATGAGCGAGCCAGAGCTATATAGTAAATTAATATATAACATATTATGAGTTGTGTTGAGACTATAGCCGGAAGGAACAAGTCGTGCGCGAGTCTTTTCTTTTCTTTTTTTTTTTACATTTCTTTCCTTAATTCTCGAAGAACCTCGCTGCGTTTAAGAAGAAACACACATGGTACATATTTGTTCGTGATCGGTGTCTCGTTGTGTTTCTCCTGTTTTTTTTTTTTCTTTTTTTCTTTGCAAGCGACACGCAAAAAGCAAAAGGAAAGCAAGATTAATTAATTTTTACGTGTCGCTGTGTCTTTTTGTACATATGCACATACAGAACTGCACGTCGTTGAAACCGAGACTCGATAATACTTTATTCCCCCCCTCCCTTTTTTTTTTCTTTTACTGTTTCTCGTTTTAATCTCGTTGACATTTATCGATTACTACTGCGTGTGTTCCGTGAATACGTACAATATATATATATACATATGTGTGTGTACGTACATACATACATACAGTGGTTCACGAAAATATTCGAATCGCCTATCTTGGAAAAATATACATATATTTTGTGTTATGTAAAATATTTTGAAATTTCATGAACTGTAATGAGAAACGACTATTATAATGTCATGTTAGTAAAATTTAAAACCAATCTGAAAATGTATGGGCGATAAAAAATAATTCGTATACAACGTGAATTGCCATTTTAAACGAATGATAAGATTTGGAGACGGTCTTATCGAAAATTGATTATAACTGACTGTTTAAATACAGATTCATTTCAAACTTGACCAATATGATCACGATAATCAAGTTTCACTACGATGTTGAACAGAAATTTCAAAATGTTCTATGCAGCATGATAATATTCATAAGTGTTTGAATATTTTCGTGAGTAACTGTACGTGCGTGGCTTTTTCTACTGATCGTAAAAGAACAAAGGAGTCGAGCGAATCGAACATACGCGACATCGATGCCATTCTTTTCTTTTCTTTTTTTTTTTTTTTTTTT